AAAATCATTTTTAAAATTTTCAAACTTAGAATTACCTAGTAATCACTGTAAAAAGAATGTATTTAAGAGCCTCCAAGAAAAATCTAGTTTTACACACACACACACACACACACACACACTTGAAAACTCCAATAAACTACTGTGTCATCTAAAGTAAGAAACTAATGCCATTAAAGGTGTCTTTAAACACATAGAATTTTCATATTCATTCGTACATACTTCCTAAGTATCCAATGGGAGGTACAGTAAGACAGTTTCTACATTCAAACATTTTATAATCCATTAAGAGTGTATGTAAATTATAGCTGGCGTACTTAAAAATACTGTGTAGAAGGCACTGTAATGAAGTTAAACAGCTATCAGAATGACTGGAGATATTAGTATCATACAAAAAAAGGCAAGGGAAAGGGAGAAAGGGGATCTATGGAAATGTGGCTTATGAGGTAGTCTTTAACATGGAGGACTTCAATAGGCAGAGACAGGAAAAGAAAACTCCAAGAAGTGAAACTGCATGAGAAAAAAATAGTAAAGTAAAAATTAAGTTTGAGTAAAACAAGAAATAATTTAAATGGAGCAGTGGAGCCAAATAATGCAGTATTGAAAGACAACACTGAGGAGCAAGGACTTCATTCCAGCTGACCAGGAGGTATTCAGTAGAAGCACAGTGGTCAAGAACACAAACTTAAAAGACATGCTTGTAATCAAATTCCAGTTCTACCTAACAACACTCCTTCAGGTTCATGCATAGTGGGAGATAATATTTGCAACTATAAGCCTATCATAAAGACCAAGAACAAAGCATTCACACAGCCACTGACTTAAGAAATGTTTTCAATTTGCTTTTTGTTTCTGTCATCTGGCACTGAAAACATAAGAGGTGCACTTAGGACAATTAATATGATGGCCATATGCATTATGAACAGTAAAGACTATAGATTAAGAATGTCTCCTGTTAATGGCAGTTGAAGCAAAGGGTTGAAAAACGCAGGGTTACTGAAAAACTTGAATGTAGTAGGAGAAACAATATGTAGTAAAAGAAAAAAAGTCTGGGAAAAGAGTGAAGATTTGGTTTTGACCCTAGGTAATCAAGAAAATGTCTGTCATAAATGTAAGCAAGTAAGGAAAGAATTAAATTTGCAAAATAAAGTCTGTTTATTCTGCAATGTTTTTTCAAGATATCAAAATGACAGCCATTTAAAAGAGTTTATCAAGGAGAACAATAACGAAGAACAAGAATGAAGTTGAAGAACATGAAATTAGTGAGGCAGACCGGGGACTTAGCAAAAGGAGAAAAATGAACAGTCTGTGTAGGACCCAAAAGGAGAAAATATACCTCTATAGAATATAAGGCAACTGTATCCCCCTTCAGGTAAGAAGTGAGATGAAAAGTGTGAACAAAAGTCACAAAAGAACAAATTTAAGATACTGCTTTGTAGAAAACGACACATAAGACAGCGATTTCACAGTGCTTTATACTCTACAGCTTTTCAGATGTTCATTGTACCTTGTATTATAAACTAAATTAACATGATAACGTGATTACTAGATTTATTAGAGCCTAAAAGTTACTGAAAAGTGTTAATTATTCCAACTCAAGTCCCAGAAGGACAGTTAACATAAGAATTATGATTAGCTATAATATTTTCAGTATTTCATTACTCAAATAACTTTTTTCAAGGGTGGGTCTGTTATGGGCTGAATGTTTGTGACCTTCAAAAAAAAAAACGAAGCTAATCTCCAATTTTGGAGGTGGGGCCTTTGGTAGTTAATTGGTAATTGAGAGGTAATTAAGAGGGAAAATTTTTTAAACCTAAATCCCACCTGAAGCTCCTTTTACTATCCCTCACAAGACCCAAATAATTGATTTCTAGCTACTCAGGAATACATACAGTCAAAAGGATATTCAGCCTAAATTTAAAAAGTAACTTTCTATTGCTTTCTGTTAACAAAAAAATCTCTTACTATTCAATAATTTTAGAAAATACATATACACAGCATTGAGTTCCTCACTTTCTAAGAGCTTACCAGTAGTTCTTAACATATACTAACCACTTTTCAACACCAGACTTTTCTCTCCTACTACTAAAAACACCAGCCACATCCAGTATAAAGTATTCAATAAATAAGTGACAACAGCTATACCTCCCAATTAAATGTGACTCCAACTAGCACCTTTAATAATTGGTAAAAATAAAAATTCAAGTATTTTCCTATGTTTCTTTTCAAACATATTATTACAACTGAACAAATTTTAACTTCAGAATTTGCCCTATTTCTTTAAACTACAGTGTTGCCACATCTACAGGAAAACTGAAACAGACTAACAATTCCATAATATGAAGATGCATACTCTGTCATGATGCATCTTAAATAAACCAACTTTAATCTTTTTAGCACCCTCCCTGTATTCTTTTCATTATAGTTTACAAATAGTAAACTGAACTCTTAAATATAGCAAAGGAAATAAGATTATCCATCCAAGTTTGTAAGGAATAAAAATATCAGTAAGAGCTACAACTTAACTATGATATCCAGCATAGCTCCCCATATTCTTGGTTAATAGCATCAGCTCAAAGAATATTTAATAGGCCCTCCCTTGTGGCGAAGAGGGTTAAAGCACAGCACTAAGAAGCTAAAGCCACTTCCGCAAGTGTTTGATTCCCACCTGCCCCGGAGGTGACCACATGGTGTGGCAGACCTCTCCTGACCCACCCGCTGCTCCCTTCAAGCAGTGTACTTCATCCATCTGCCTGTTCTGCTCCCCACTCTGTCTCTGGTGAAGCCTCTTGCCGCCCCTGAGCCTCTGGCCTGTACCCCTGTTCTGTATGCACAAATAAATAAATCTATTTAAAAAAAAAAAAGAAAGAAAGAATATTTAATAATATGCCATCAGAAACACCTGGTCCAAAAAGTTAACATTGGCATTTTATACTAAATCCTTTGGATTATTTTTCAAGGAACATGACCATATTCAGGTCTCTATTTTTGTTAGCAACTTGGAATTTCCAAAACAATAAACAGGAGGAAATTCTAAGATCAATAATTTTTAAGTTTCACTAGTGGAAGGCAGTATGGCAGAGGAGAAAACAGTTACACATGCCTGAATCTAATGCAATCACCACTACCTAAAGTGAAATGGGATGAGAGCAATTTAATCACTCAGTTTGTTAGTCTATTGAACAGAGCCAATGCCCCAAGCTGCTATGAAAAACATGTAAGAAAGAGTGTATTACTATCATCAATAACTAATATATTGTGGGAGTTTTTGTTTGCTTTTTGCTTTAGCATGACCCCTCAAGTTAATACAGTGCTACCCAAGTTAGTCTAAGATTTCAGAATACACATGGTTCAGAATCAGACTGTTTTTGTGTTTGTTTTAGTTGTTTCCCCTGAAATCTAGCACTCATATTGAGCATCAGTACATTTTCAATTAAAAAAAGAATTCAGTGATTAAATCAACAAAGCCTCCAGCTCTTCCGTGAACAGAAATATAAAAACAAGGATTTTTTTAGCTTTGTCTTACTTAACAGTAACACTAACCATTGTTCCATTTATCTGATCACTTACTCCTTCAGGCTTACCATCAAAATAGTTAGTCCCAGGCAGTGTGAGGTTTTGAAGCTTTTCTCTCTTCTCTGAAATACAAACTTCAGGGTTACTGGCACCTTACCTTCTCGTCACACTTCCGACAAGGAAATGAGTTTGTTCTCAACTAACCATGTAGAATCTGGATTTACCTTTTTAAAAACACTAAAAAAGTAACGATCTATTTTAGTAGATCGTTTTATGGTGTCTTTCAAGCTCCATGTAATCTACCACTAACCTCTGTGGAAATGCTATTACTCAATTTGCCTAATATGCAAATATTCCAACCTGGCGTTAAGTCTCAAAGTTTGACCAGTTTTAAAAATAATGATCTGTATCCCTTGTTAAAGTTATTTAAAAGCTAAGAAAATACTGGAGGCACTGTTCAGCGCAAAAAAAGAAAAGCCTGTTTAGAATTTTAAAAGAATGAAGTATGTAATGAAGTAAGATACCGGTGAGTACTACTGTTTAACAAAAACTATATACAAAAGTGATGCCTATTTTGTTTGTAAGCATACTTACTGTACGCGCAGAAAATCTGAAAGGTTAAACACCACACTTCAAGTCTGGCTACCAACCCTAGCTACTAAGAGGAAAGGGGGGAGGTGTGGGGCGGGGAGGCAACGCTGACGTCTTCATTGTTTGGCTGCTAATTTTTTTTCTTAAAGAGCACGTAGTATTTTTGTAAATTAAAAAAAAAAATAGGCGAAAAGAACTATTGGTGAAACTGTACTTTCTCTTCCGTATCCAAATTCTTGAACTTTGTGATTTGAAAAGCAATGTTGATTTCTCGGTTGTTTTTAAAAGGGCATATCCAAGAAGTTTAAAACAGAATCTTGGATTTACAAAATGAACCCCTCCGGTTCTACTCTACGCTTGGGTTTGAAATACCCTGGCGACAGGCACTGCACTTAATAGTAGTACACACTCAAACAAAAAAAAGAAAGGAAGGAAATGCTAACGCCAGCACGGCTCTTCGGTCCCTTCGCAGTCCCAGTCCCAGCCCCCAAGATTTCCCTGAAGCTACGTAGATAGAATTCTCTTCCTTCAAAATCAAAACAAACAACAGAAAGTCACGGGGTAGAGCTGAAAAGGCCTGATGAAGCCCGCGGAAATCTGAGGACAGCAAGGTGGGGGAGTCTGCGTGGTCCCCCAACACGAGCAGAGCCGGGGGAGCGTGGGAATCCCTAGCCCCCCACCCAGATCCCCGGCCCTTCTACTCACAGGTCCCCAAGGATCCCGGTCCTGACCTCCTGGCCATTTCGAGCCCCCAGCCTCCCTCGACCAGCCCCTTCCCGACTCCTAAGCTCCGGACCCCCAAGTCTCCCTCGAGCCCCCTACGCCAGCCGAGGCGCGCCCCCACTGCCCGCCGACTCCCGCACGCGAGACCCAGAGCCCCCGGGCGGCTGCGTTACCTGTGGCGAGGCGGTCGGTCCGGCCAGCCGCAGCGGCGCGCAGGTTCAGGCGCTAGGACTCGGAGGGCTCCGCGGCAGCCGGCCGCCGCCACCGCCACAACAACACGGCCTCCCCCACCGCCGCCGCCGGGGGGAGGGGCGGAGCCGGGACCCAAGGCTGGGGAAGCCCAGACCTCGCGGCCTTCAGAGTCGTCGGGGACCTGGGCATGCGCAAAGAGCCGCGTGCGCGAGGGCAGCTTCGCTAGGACGCCGAAGTCAACAAGGCTTGGGGACGCCCCCATCCGGCTCCGCCCCACTCTGAGATCGCTCCGCCCCCAGACCCAAACAACGCGAGGTCTTGACAGGGGCTTGGGGACGGCGGCGGTTGAATTAGATCCCGCGAGATCAAGGCTTCGGTTTCTCCTCCCCCTCCCCAGCTGAGTGGAGAAGATGCTGTCTCTGGGGGCTGAGTGGAGTGTGGGGTGGGGGAATCTCCACGGTGCTCGGAGCGAGAGCGTCTGGACGTCAGTCATCTTCAAAGGTGCTACTTGGTAGGATAGCCCTCCAGTGGCTTTTGTGGCACATTCTCACTGGGGAATCTGAAAAAACATGGGTTTTCCTCAAGACTGTGCTACTTTAGACGTGTCCCATCGCTTGTGGTTAACGTTCATTACCTACGCGGTGCAGGTTTCTTATCCACCTGCCTCACCACCCGAAACTGTGTTCTCCACCTGGCTCTGGACCTGAGCATTTTCTTTCCAACCCCCAAACGTGCTCTTCCTTCAAACACTTGAGTACTTAAAGCTCGTGAAGGTGTTGTACCCAACAAGTTTCTCTTGGTTTAAGTAGCCCATAGCCCAAAACCAGAAGGAAAGGTGTTTGAGAATAAAAGAGTTTAGCAGAAAAAAAGGCCACATAGGCTTTAAACAGCTGGGGAAATGCTCTGATGAACTTAGTAATGAAGCTATTCACACGTTAATGAGTGAGTTTGGTATGCACAAGTGGCAGTGTGACTTTTCATTAGCGCACTAATTTCGTACCAGTGCTCAGCTTTCCCACTCACTGAATTTCAGTGTGTCCCATTGCTTGAATTCTGTCTTGATTGTCCCATGTGTTCGCCGTAATTATAGGCTCGCTCCTCCTAAAGGTTACCTAAGGTAAATTAGAATGGGTTAAAACCTGGGTTAACCCCAGGTTACCGTTTCTCACCATAGCACATTGTTTGTCAAAAAAAAAAAAAAAAGTTGGTAATTTCGTTCTAAAGATGAACAGTAAAATGTAAAAGCTGAAATCTTGAAGAACTTAAAAACCACAAAATAGCTGCTAGTGGTCTGTCACCCAATTCAACAATCTATTTGGGTTGCAAATATGAGCACATGTTAACTGGGTGTTTAGCTCCTTACTGTGCAAAATCCTATTCATTTGCCCTCTGGATTCTTTGGCTCTGTGCCTGATTTGAGGGCTTGCCTGTGATGGAATCCTTTAACAATCTTGCAGGATTAGCTTTTTGCTGTTGCACGCAGAAATTTTAGCTTATCAAAATATTTTGTTTAACCATTAGCAAAGTGGTTGTTTGCAAGCTAGTTAAAATCATTAAACAACTGTTAAGTCTTTTCCCTGTTTTTAATTTCCAAACTGCCATGGAGTTTTTAGAGATTTAAACTTTTTGTCTCCTCTTCCGCTACTACATTAAATTGGACCACAGGCCATTTTTTAATTAGACTACACAGCACTTTGTTAAACATACCAAATTCTATTCTTGCGGTTGTGTAGCTGGACAGCAAATAAGCCCACTTGATACAACTGTATTTTTCTCTGGTGGTATAGCTCATGTTACCACTCCAGTCTTCATACATAGTTTATTTCTGGTGAGTCTCTTCCTGCTAATTTGTAATCCACAAAGTCTGGGGATGTGACTGTATATTCTTTCTCTCTCCAAAGTCTTCTGCATTGTTTGCCTGTACCACTGACCCTCTTCACTTGTGTGGATAATTTAAATTTTAAATATTCTGTCATCGAATTGTGTAGATTTATTTAGAATGGCAAGTTTTGACAGCCTGCAGACAACTACTTCTAGAGTTCTTGGTCCATCTTGTAGCAGGTCTGCTCCTGGTAACAGCCCTAATGTCACAGACTGCTTCTGGGTGAAGGGGGAGAAAAATCACAGCACAGTAAATGAGTGTCATTTTCCCTGTCCCATTTACATGCAGTGACATCCCTGCACACCATTAACCAGACTCCCTGGGGGCCGGTTGGGAAAGAGCAAGAAGGATATAAATGGAGGTGGAATGAAGGAGGGGAGAGGCACTTCAAGACTTGGAGAAGAGATGTGTGTAAGAGACATTTGGAAAAACTGCTCCTGGGACTTTAGAGTGTTGGCAGAGGCAATGGCAGCCGTTACCATGACCTCATGGTAGGTTATCTGGTACTTTTTGAGTTTTGGGTCTCTCCTGGCTCTTGAGGGCCTGTTTAGGCACTTTCTTGTGACAGAGGATTCCCTGGACTTGTGGCAAGTTTGGGGGCTTCAACCACCTGCTGTGGTTTCATATAGTATGGGCATTTGTCCACAAGGAGATGAGTAATCATCACAGTTTTGCTGGGGATCTTATTTGAAATCCTTTCCACTTGATCTCACTTTCACTCTTGCTCTTTCACTCTTTTAATTTGTACACCAATTCTAAACAAAAAAAAAAATTCACATCAAGGGCTTTCTTTGTCTTGCTGTTCATAGATGGTCAGACTATATTTTAGAGCATACCCCTTAGTTACATACTTCCACTAACACAGTGCTTAAAAATTCTTTATACCAAGTTCTTCAGTTCTATTTTTAGCCAAAAATTCCTAAAATGAACTTTGTGAATACAGAATATTATGTAGGCAGGAGTTTTGTAATGTCAAAAAGCTGTATATTTGAATGTATAAGGCATTTATTTGATAAATGTTTATTAAAGTAAATGAAATTTACCATACAAACGTATTACCTATGAAGTCACATTTCCCATGGCATGGCAAATTCTATTTTACATTTTTTCTGTCAGAATTGGAGGTATTCAGGTGTTGGCCAGATTAACCTTAAATCGTTGAGTTATTTCCAAACACCTGTGTTGCATAATAGGTTTTAGTTATAGCTGGTAGTGCTGAGTCTGTTCTGTGAGGCCTGAAACAGTTTCCTTCTATCTCTCATTTGACCTGAAATGTCTGGGGAAAACCCAGAACTAAACTCTGCTAAATATGGTGCTGTTTTGTTCGCAACTTTATTTCCTTGACTATTTCCAGTGCAATTACAAATCCTTCACTCCTGCCCTGTCCCCAAACAATAAAAATAAAAACTTCCTCTCTAAAAGGTAGTTTCTCTATATTTTTCTGTTTTAAAAACAAAATGTGACACATCAGCATTTCCCTGCTGATTTTAAAAACTATTTGAAAGAAGGTGGGAATGTTTCTAGAGTAGTATAATTTAAAAATGAAGAGGTAATAGCTGTAATTTATAGAAGGACATACAAAGCAGTTAGATTTGACAAAGGTGAAAGGGAATCTTCTGTTGATAGACTTGTCACAAAATATATCCTTGGCATTACACTGCTAGCATTTATGACTAGCTCACATATTGATAAATATTTTAGTCAAAATTAAGGATAAAAAAAAACTATGAAAATAGAAAGGTAACAATTCTTTAAAGAAAAGGAAAAAAAAACCTGTAAATCAGGGTTTTGTAAAATGTATTGATAGGGATAAGAAGCATCAAATCACAAGGAAATTTGAAAGTGAAAATTCTGCTCCCTCCCTGGTGGCACAACAGGTTAAAGCTCTACTGCCTCAGCATGTGAGTTCAAGGTATTTGAGTTCAAGCTCTGTCTAGGGAGCTGACTCACATGGCACAGCAGACTTCTTCTGTCTCTCCCGCTGTTCCCCTCAGCAGTGTAGTACATCAATCTGCCTGTTCTGCTTCTTACTCTCTCTGGTGAACCATCTCACCACCCCTGCACCTCTGACCTGTACCCCAGTTCTGTATGCATAAGTAAATAAATCTTTAAAAAATAAAATGAATTTAAAAAAAAAATGACAATTCTTAGGCTTCTGCCCCAATTTAGCAAATCCTTTGGGTCATTTTGATAAATGCTAAAGTTATAGAACTATTGATACAGAGCATGAAATACACTTTTTCAGGTATATTAATTTTTTCCCAAAATACATATAACTACTAGGTATGAAATTAGTTGGAAAAAAGACTTTCTGTGGGAAAAATACTCCATTCCTGGTATTCCCAAAATCTATAATATCTCCTATCTAAGCAAATTGCATTCATTGTTCATGCACCTACCCCTTCATCCATTAGAAGTCTTTCTGAATCCTTTGTATTGCATTCTGTTGCTACTTTATTGCTGTTCTGTTCTCATTCAAAAACATTAAGTGTGAGTGTGGATGTAATCAAAGACTGCTAACAATCTTTTCCACATTGGAAAATTGCCCAAAATTGTGCACCACTGCTGCTTTAATGGGTCTTCACCTTTAGAGCTGTTCTTTTTTTTCTCCGAAACTAATCTAGTAGAATGTCAAGTTGTTCAGCAGACTCCAGTGTGGTTCCCCAGCATTTCAGAACTGTCCTGTATTTTCTGAAACACTTAGCTCATTTAAAAATATATAACAATGTTTATATAAAGTTATAATAAGGATCTGAAAAAATAACATGAGCATTAAATAACTGAATTTTTGAGACAAACAACAAATGTAAACATACCTTGCATGACATACTGTAATGTCAAAGGCAGGGCTGCTGACCCCTCCCTCCAAGCACTGGTCTGTTGAATAGGTGATCAGCAACATCTGACCCTCATAGAAACCACCTAGCTAGCCCAGTAAAAAAAAAAAAAAGAAGAAGAAGAAGCTCTGCCCTCCCCGGTGCACAGAGGGTTAAAGCACAGAACAAAGAAGCTAAAGCCACTTCAGCTTGAGTTCAGTCACTCAGCTACTTGCAAAGCCTCTGAACTTTTCCTCTCTAAATTTGACTGCTGGAGTCCTCTCTACTACATCAGAGGCCCACAACAGCCTTCTGGAAGATCAGCATGGTAGGGGCCAGAATCCCC